CCACATGCCAGCTCACGTTCAGTATTGGCCAGGGCTGTGCCGTTGACACCGCTCACCCTTCCGTTCTGCCTTCCAGGCTCAGTAAAAGTCAGAGCGGCGACGAGGAGGGACCCCTGAGCGACAAGTGCAGCCGCAAGACCCTCTTCTACCTGATCGCGACTCTCAATGAGTCCTTCCGCCCCGACTACGACTTCAGCGCGGCCAAGAGCCATGAGTTCAGCCGGGAGCCCAGCCTCAACTGGGTACGTGAGCCGAGCACCCCGAGGCTGGGCAGCTCCTGCACCCCTGCCCGTGCTGCCAGCCTCCATCTGGGAAGAGAAGGCAGCAGGGATCTTTGGGGCGAGCCTCTGGTTTTCCGGGGAGCCCCATGTGCTGCTGCCGTCCCGGATGACCCTTCCCAGGCTGTGCCTTGCTCTGGAAGGGAGCAGGAGAAATGAAGGAAGCCCAGGAAGAGGTTCGTGGGGTGTCTTCTCCAGCAGCCGTGGGGTGTTTTCAGCCTGTCTCCTGGCTGTCAGGACCGGCACGCCTGCCCTGGTCAGGGAGGCAAGTGGTTGCGTTTGTCTTTATTCCTGGGGTCCCACTTTGAGACTGGGGAGGTCCCAGTTTCCCTCAAGGGAAATGGCAGAACCTGTCCACGTGCAATTGGGCTGTTTTCCCAGCTCTTGCTGTCTTTACGGTGCCTGCGGGTGTTCTGTAAGGGTGAAAAGAGCCAGATTTTGTAAAAATACCCTGTCCTTCCGCTTTTTGTACCGAGCAGTCGGACGCTTTAGAAAGGACAGAAGAGTTGTTGGGTGAGTTTACATGATTGATTGTGGTTTGCCTTAGAACCTGTCCACGTGCAATTGGGCTGTTTTCCCAGCTCTTGCTGTCTTTACGGTGCCTGCGGGTGTTCTGTAAGGGTGAAAAGAGCCAGATTTTGTAAAAATACCCTGTCCTTCCGCTTTTTGTACCGAGCAGTCGGACGCTTTAGAAAGGACAGAAGAGTTGTTGGGTGAGTTTACATGGTTGATTGTGGTTTGCCTCTATGAAAATAGTGAGAAATGAATCTGAGGTGACACAAATGTTCCCACCTTCCTCAAGATCGAGAAGTTGTGACAGCTGACACCAGCTGAGAATCTGCCGCTGAAGAACATCAGGCTGGGTGGTGTTTAACTACAGAAATGGAAATATTTCTGTATCAACAATGACTTGTTGTGACTTGCTGGGTTTGTTTCACTTAATTTTGAGTGAAATAATAAAGGATCACAGTGACAGAGACAGTATTGGGGTATTTAGTGGCCCGAAGGGCTGATTTGGAGCATTGGGATTTTGTTAGAACAGCTTTGGTTGTTCGTTCAGCTGGGTTCTTGTTCCCTTTGCTGTGATGCACTTTGCCATTTCCATATTTCTTTTCCGAAAAGTAACTGGTTTCAGGAATCAGTCTCTGGGGGTCAGAAATTACACACTTCTGGTACACGTTGATTTGGTTTTGTCAGCTTGAGGACGTATCCTGGGCCGTCCTTTCCCCCCCCTGCATATTCTCTGTGCCCTTAGTTCCTCATTTGAGGTTTTGCAGACTGCTGCTCGGTGGTACAACGTGCAAAGTCCTTGTAAGCGTTTAAATGAGACAGGAATCGAATTCCTGAGACACTGGGCTTTAACAGAGGAATTTCTCTGTCTGTGAGGTAGCTACCCCTCCATGAAGACACCCTGAGTTTCTCCTTGCTCTAGATTAAAACGATTTTAAGCAGTTATTTGTGGAATATGTCAACTTCCACTGGCATAGTGGAACATAACAATGTTTTCCATGACACAATCTGAAATTCCGTCAGCAAACATTGCTCTCATGGTGAAGGAGCAGTTGTAGTTTAGTTTTTTTTTCTTTTAATCCTTATAATAAGGGGTATTTCCGTACGTGGAATCATTTTTCTCAGTGATTACTCGGTGAGCCTTTGCAGAGGCTTTGAGGAAGCTCCTTGCAGGGAGAGCCTCGGGCTGCGGGCGCCCCAGAGACCCTCTGATGGGTTTTGCCTCTCCAGTGTCTCGCGTCCCTGCTGCCCATCTCCTCGCTTCCACCTCCGGGCCCTGAACGAGGCTCCGGTGCCCGGCCATCGGCTTCTTCCCCTCCACGGTCCTTGTCGGGCTGTGGCTTCTCCTCTCGGGGAGGATGAGCCACGTAGGAGGTCAGTGGTGGGGAGGGGGCCAGGCAGCAGCCCCCAGCTCCTCTCACAGCCCCACTCGCTCTCTGCAGGTGGTGAATGCCGTCAACTGCAGCCTCTTCTCTGCCGTTCGGGAAGATTTCAACGCCCTGAAGCCGCATCTGTGGGATGCTGTCGACGAGGAGATCTGTCTTTCGGAGTGTGACATCTACAGGTAATTATTATCAGTTATTTTTCAATAAATATAGAAACATTTTTCAATTTTGGTGTGCCCACCGCCATGTGTGTGAGGACAAACCGCTGGAGCAGAGCGGGGTGTCTCCTGCCCAGAGTTTGCTCCCTGCCCATGGTGGGGGAACCGCTGCTGCCGTCCCCTCCCTCGCAGAACTTCCACACATGCCCCGGGCAGCTGCGGGATGTCCACGATCTCCCCCTTTCCTTCCTCCACCGAACCTCTGGGTTGAGAACGGGATCGGCGCTGGGATGAGAGCCCGGTGCGGTGTTTCTCATGCCTCCGTTTGCTCTTACAGCTACAACCCTGACCTGGATTCGGATCCTTTTGGAGAGGACGGCAGCCTCTGGTCCTTCAACTATTTCTTCTACAACAAGAGGCTGAAGAGGATCGTCTTTTTTACCTGTCGTTCCATCAGGTCAGGACACACCCCATCTCTGAAGTCACCCTAAAAAAGAACTGCCTTGTCTGTTCACGAGCCGCAGGGGAGGAACCTTTGGTCCCCGCCAGCCCCCCAGCCCCGGAAGGAAGGGACCTTTGTCCCCACCTGGCCCTGGAGCCAGGCATGGTAGATAACGCTCGGGAACTTCCCCGGCCGGGGAGGATGGAGCCCGGTTCCCTCCGTCTTCCCAAAACATACATCTTCAAAGGACAAGCCGATGGGAACTGACGTCCTTGGGAAGAGGTGGCCCTGACCTGACACCTGGCTGTTGCTGGCGGGCATGGAGGGGCACACAGGAGGGCAGGAACACCTTGGGGGGCTCTGCCAGCCCCCACTTCCCATGGGATGGATTTTGCGGAGGAGATGCGCGGCAGGGACGTCAGCCCAGCGGAGAGCAGAGTGGGGTTCCCCCTGCGTCAGGGTGCCGGCCGGTTGCTGACATTGTGCCGCCGTTTTTTTCCCCCAGTGGGTACGCATACACGCGCTCGGAAGCTGGCAACGAGCTGGACATGGATCTCAGCGAAGAGGATGTGGAGGAGAACGGGGACACCGGTGACACCGAGAGCGGC